GAAAATTTGCCCACACTGAAAGACTAGAGAAAATAATACAAAACTGATAGTAACAGTAGATTCTCTACTAAGCTTCTTGGCAGCCAAGGCAAAAAGGAAAAACGGGGAACTGTAGTTTTCGTAGATTAATATGTTGGTGAATTTTCAGGAGAAAATTCACTTTTTTCTTGCCACTAAATTATGTAGGTGAAGTTACCATGTGGTTTCTGGCACTAAATTATATAGCTGAAGTTACCATGTGTTTCAATTATATAAGGTGAAGTTTGTATGTTGAATGGGTAACACAGTGTCTTCAACCACAGTTTTAAAGAAAGAATAATCATTTTTGACCTTATAAACAACCATAAATATAGTGAAGTTTGGCAATTAATTATAGTGTGTCCCAAAATTCACGCAAGAAGTAATTTTGATAGAAAACACAGGTTTATAATTAAAAATTGTAAATTTTTTATTGATTCATAAAGTATACAGTATAGGGTTATGTATGAAATAGCACATCGGGTAAATGGCCTCCACAGCTTTGCTGGCACATACACAAAGCAGTGGTGTTCATTGGTCTTCATTATCCCTGCTCCTGGACCATAATTGGTACTTGGTAATGCTTATCAAATGGAAGGGATTGAAATCAAGGGCAACAGATATTAGAATCTGATTCAATAAACCAAGTAAAATTAGGCTTTTATTTTTTTGTTGTTGTTGTTAATGCTCACACAAAATTCAAATCTTGCGTGAATTTTGGGACACCCTATATAATGTGTTGAAGGCCTTTCGTTGTCGTTGGTGCTAATATAGGCCAGGTGTAAATGCTTCCTGGGGTCCTTGCTTCTAGCTGAATAGAACCTAGGCACCTAATGTCATCTTCAGACCACCTCTGTCAAGTCTTAGCTTTCTCAGTGGTGCCCGGTAGGAACTGGAAAGCAGTTTGTCAGTATTTTAATAGAAGTGGAAGTATGGAATTTTATGGCCATTGGCAAGAGAATAAAATAGGTATTTCTTAGTCACATGTAAACTCTTTCTTAGGATACAACATAATCTCCTTTGTGAGCTGTTTTGTAGTTGGATTTTTCAGACTGCTTTTTTTTTTTTTTTAGTTTCAGAGATAGTGGAATCCCAAGTGATTTTAAGTTATGAATGAAGTCAAAGAAGGGAAAATATTATACTTCTCAAATTTGCTTTGTAGGTAGTAGAAGCAGAGACTTAATGTCAAGCTTCTGTAAATTGCTGGAATAAATTGGGCACTTTATGAGTGAATAAGTTGAATTTTTATTGTTGTATTGATCTGTATGTATAAAGAGGAATACTGAGTAAATGGATTGATTCCTTTAAATAGCTCTTCTTGAGTTCTTTGTTATAGATGCATTATAATCCTTTGAAATAAAATTTATAATAGTTTTTCCTTTATCCTGACAGTAATGTAACGTCAACCTGAAGAACTTACTCATATCTGCTTATTATTTTCTACTCTATCAGTTAGGAAGTGTCTGTTTCCTGCGCCTTTGAGGCTCTTATTGGAGGCTAGGCAGCCTCACAGCAGAAAGAGAATAAGACCTGAGCCAGGCCCTTTGCTCACTTTGCACCTGAGCAAGTTATTGAAGTTTTCCCAGGCTCCGTTCTCTCCCTGTAACTGGCAGTAACACCCACCTCACAGGGATGCTGTCAAGATGGAGGGTAAAATGTGGATAGATAGGATCACGTTGTCATGATGGCGTGTAAAGTGTGGAATGCAGCAACCGTTCTGTGTTCCCAGCCCCAGGCACTTGGTGTCAGGACTTCCCACAGAGAATTCAGAGGCAGCCTTGAATCTTGGGAATGTTTTCATTGAATACATGTTGCCATTTGACATCAGAAATGCTGACTGACAACATTTCACCAGCCAAGTTCAAAGAAGTAGATTTCCCCCAAAGCTTTGTATAGGCTAGGTCTCCTTCTGTAATAAATATCTTTTGCAGTTGAGCTCTCTCTGATATTTTAACAACCCACATGCCATAGCAAACATACTAATTTCAAGAAAGCCTGAGGAGGAGATTTGATTCTTTTTCCCAGGAGTCCTGTCTGGGCTCTTCTCCTGTTAGACTTCTGGCATTTTGTGACCTGCAATACCTCACCTTAGGCTCACAAAGTTCCATCTGGGGCCCTTGATGTGCAAGTTCTCAGTTGAACAACTTACATCTATATGTGTCCTTTGCCTTAACCCTAAATTGCATAATCCCGAGCAGACAGGAAAGGAGGCCCTGGTTCCTACACACCAGGCACTAGGTCACAAAGAAGTGAATATCACATGGCCGCCTTGTATACAGCAAAGAAATGAGTGTATAGTAGGGCATATTACCCATAATAATTACCTTGACCAGGAAGACAAAGGAGCAGGAGACGGGTGGGGAAGAAGCCATGGCTGGGCATGTTTTCCTATTCTCGGCCAGCACAACTCACCTTCACTCTGTTTTAATATCCTTCTACTTTGACCCTATGTCTCTTTTATGAAGAAGTCAGTCACCTTCCTTACCTCCAAGTGTCCATGGTTGTCCGCGAAATACCAGTTAAATCTGGTATGGGAAATGAACCACCCTTCATGTCTCTGGAAGAGATGGAGCAGATGCAGCCCTTGGGTGGCATGGTGCCTTTGAGTACACCTTTCAAATGTTTCCTAAGATCACTCTGACATGGGAGAAACATTATTTTTCCTCTATGCCTCTGAGTTCTGAGCTGAGGCACCTGTAATAAAAGACAGATAAACAAGAGAAAAATGTATACCTCTTGTACACATGGGAAATACCCAGGAATAAAATGAGTAACTAAAAAAGATAGATTTAGAATTTAGGCTTAAATTACATCTTAATAGGAAAGAGAGAAGGGGGCAGAATAAATAATTTTTAGGAAACATGGTGAGAGGTGGGAGGCAGTTTGTGACGAAGTTTGTATGGGTGTGGTGTGGACTTCCAGTCTCTTTTCTTGTGATGAGTCAGTCCTCTCTGGTTGAAGAAACTCCTGAGGAGGGGTTATGACAATTGAGTCCTTTGTGGAGCACCTGTCTTTTGGCAGATGAGGGGAGTTCAGAGAAAGCCTGCGCCTGCATTTGCTGTTCTCCAGGTGCCTTTGGCTTAAAATGATCAATACATCAAGTGGCGTATGTGGGTGGCATGTCCTGCTGCCCTTACAATAAGTAGTCCAACATTCAAAACTGGCGTATACAAAGTTCCTCTTGAAATGAAGCATTTCTAATTTCAGCTCAATTCCTTAGGTATATGTAGAAAAATGTGTAAGATCTAGACGTTTTATAATAAATATTATATTCTCCTTCCCCCTACACAATCTGTGCGGTCACAGGCATTTCCTAGTTGCAGGCTTCCCCACAGTGGCAGCATTGATAATAACTATAGAATCCTGCTTTTTCCTGTCTAGTAAAATTTATAGGATGGCTTTCCTTTTGGCCTTTGCATAAATTAGAACTATTTATATATATTTTTGGTTGAAAATAAGATCCCCATTGTCTAAATTATGTCAGGGTAGCTCCTAGCTAACATAAGAATATATCATATGATTTAACGTGATATCCAAATTGATAAGTCAGTGATAAGAACTTTCCTGTAAGGCTTTTAAAAAGATCATTAGCCATTTCCATGTCATACGAAGTTCCAGTTAGTCGCACAGTATTTTAAATCATAGTTCACTTTTGTACATTTCTGGGGGGTCCCTGACACCTCACCCACTCTAGTTCATCTTTTATTCTAGTCTTGCTTCACATCTTTGATAACTTTCGACTAAGGCTGTGATATCTGAGGGGAAAGTAGGGCAGTAAAACAACTTAGATCATCCCTCTCCTCTTACTCTGTACCTCTGTAGAGAAAGGCAGGATCACATTGACTAGTAGATGCTGGTTGTTTCCTGGAGGTCCTCAGACCAGGAGAGGTTGAAGGACCAGTTGAGGAGAGGGGGTGACATGGGCCCCGTGTAGCACCCAAAGGTTGTCTCCTGGAGGTCCTCAGACCAGGAGAGGTTGAAAGACCAGTTGAGGAGAGGGGGTGACATGGGCCCCGTGTGCCCACTGCTCGTCCCTGTGCCAGCTGCCTTCACACTCAGTGCCTCCGTTGGCTTCGTGTTAACATGAAGTGTCTTCATCCCACAACTTCTGGAGCCAATGAAGTGGTGGCGCTGGAATGCCAACCCCTGTCTCTCTGCTAAAACTCATGCTCTGTTCTTATTAGAGGGGGAAACATGTCGATATTCTCATCCTTATGAGGTAGTTCAAAAACCAGAGTTTGGGCAAGTCACTCGCAGAAAATAGAGTACAGATTGTTTTCTGTCCTGGAATTAACAGTGATATCTGTATGTAATGAGAGGGAAGCATGCACACGTTGTGGGTGTATGTGCAGTTTATTTTCTGGAGCAGAGCATCGTGCCCTGTCTGTACAATGAGAATAGTACGTCTCTGCTCTGTGATTGTCTGGGGTTCCATGAGCCATCTCGGCAGGTTTGTGCCTGTGCCAGGGCAGAGTGCGTGCTCCATAACCAGCAGCTCTACCAGGTGTGGTGACTCTGTATGTTATTTTCGGGGGTTTGTTTTCATGTGCTCTTGTGTTCACCCCTAGATATAGGTACCTGTATTTTCTGACATCAGGGAGTGTGATTTTCATGTATCAGTCCACGGGCATGGAATCATACTTAAGTGGATGTTTCAACTTCTTAGATTGCAGAAGAGGCAGCACCGGTAAACAAGGCTTTCCCCAAAGTGTAAAATAGACATCCCCCATAAGTAATTACATTGCCTTGTAATCGAAAGCAGAATTACTTGTTCGTGGGTGTAATGACTTGCTTGTGTATTTTAAATAGAGGGTTGGAAATTCATACAGTATAGGCACTTTTGAAATTGGGAAAAGTTTTGTTTTCTAGGACTAGTTTATTAATTTTTAGAAATTAAAGCATATGACAGTATATATTGTACTTCGATTTTGAAAGAGATTCTTTGTCGTTTAAATGCTAATTTACCTTATTTTATTTTTTAGGGAATATCTTGGTAAACAGCTCCAATCTGAGCAACCTCAGACTACTGCTGCCCGAAGCTAAACCAACCTCCCATGTCACCTGTGATGGCGGAACACCTGGAGTATGAATTTCAGTAGTTAAATAATTTTTCATTTTATTTGTTATTTTCTTCTGCTGTGTAGCTGTTTCCACTGCTGATTTCTAGTAAAAGTGTTTGCCCACTAATCTGTATAAAAGTAAATGCTTTCTGTATACCTAAGGAAAAGATTACTGTTACATATATTGCTTGTATTTCTATATTTATTATTCTCTGGAAATGAATATAGTTATTAAAGGCTTCTCACTCCAAATATGGTTTTCTCTTTACTCTTTCTTACTTGGACTTTAATAAGCTGTGGATCACCGGTAGCTCCAAACAGGTTGCCCAGAGCCAGTCACAGATAGCAGCTGACATTGGCCTGCGCCAGAAGCCTTGTGAAGAGGCCCAGAACCAATACAATCAGTGGCCAGTTCCAGACAGAAAGAGAGCAGGATTCAGTAAGCTTCTCAAGCAGCTTATCCTCAGGGAGATGTTGGCAGGTACCAAAACCTGCTGAGGCAAATTCAGCTTCGTGTGATCCGCACTGGCATAACAGCTTGCACGCCTGTTGTGTGTTGAGCCTCACTGGCAACCAGCCTGAGGGTTGATCCCATGCACAAAAGGGCCAATAGCAATCAAGACTCAATTACAACAGGAGGGCCCACAAAACATGCACAAGGGACATTCTTAGAGTACCCAGTCCAGGGAGACTGCACCGCTGGGTCCCACAGGTCACCTTCTACATAAGGCTACTCCTACCAAGATGGAGTCAGCAGGTCTTCCTTGTACATAGAAACAAACACAAAGAGGCAACCAGAATGGGGAGACAAATAAAAGCCTTGGAATGGATGGCTTTACAGGAGAATTTTTACCAAACATGCAAAGAAGAACTAATACCTATTCTTGCACTATTCACAAAAATTCAGGGGAGGGAAGATTTCCAAGCTCATTTTCTAGGCCAGCATCATCCTAATTCCAAAACCAGATAAAGCAAAAATTATAGGCCAAGATCCCTGTTGAACATAGATGCAAATCCTCAACAAAATATTAGCAAACTGAATCCAGCAATACATTGAAAAGATTATAAACCATCAAGGGGGATTTTTTCTGGGGATGCAAGGTTGTTAAAATATCTGCAATTCAATAAATTGACACACCATATAAACAAAATGAAAGATAAAAAATCACATGACCATATCAATAGATGCAGAAAAAGCATTTGATGAAATCCAGTACCTATTTATGATAACTCTCAGCAAAGTGGGAATAGAGCGAACGTATCTTCCATAATAAAGGTCATATATGACAAATCCACAGCCAACATCATCCTCAATGGGCAAAAACTACAAGTGTTCCTCTTAAGATCAGGAATAAGACAAGGATGTCAGCTTTCACCACTCTTATTCAACATAGTACTGGAAGTCTAGTCACAACAATCAGACAAGAAGGAGAAATAAAAGGCATCCAAATTGGAAAGGAAAAAGTAAAACTATCATTATTTGCAGATGATATGATACTGTGTATAGAAAACCCTAAAGATTCCATAAAAAATTACTAGAACTAATAAATTCAGTAGAGTAACAGGATACAAAATAAATATCCAGAAATCAGTTGCATTTTTATATACCAATGAACTATCAGGCAAACAACAAACAAAAAACCACAATCCCATTCACAATTGCTTCAAAAGAATAAAATACCTAGGAATAAATTTAACCAAGGATGTAAAAGACCTGTACTCCAAAAATTTTAAGACAAAAAGAAATTGAAGAAGATAGAAATAACGAAGCACATACTGTTCATGGATATGATGAATTAGCATCATTAAAATGTCCAAACTACCCAAAGCAATCTATAGATTCAATGTAATTCCTATTGAAAAACCAATGGCATATTTCATAGAACTAGAACAAATATTCCAAAAATTTATATGGAACCACAAAAGACCCTGAGTAGTACAGCGATCTTGAGAAAGAACAAAGTTGGAGGAATCATGCTGCCTGATATCAAACTATACGACAAGATCATAGTAATCAAAACAGCATGGTACTGACATAAAAACAGAGATATAGACCAATGGAATAGAACAGAGAGCCCAGAAATAAACCTATGCCTTTATAACCAATTAATATTTGACAAAGGAGAAAAAAACATACAGTGGGGTAAAGACAGTCTGTTCAACAGATGGTGTTGGGAAAATTGGACAGATACATTAAAAAAAAAAGACACTAGACTACCTTCTACACCCAATAAAAGAATAAACTCAAAATGGATCAAAGACTTAAGTGTTAGACTAGACAATAAAAATCTTAGAGGAAAACATTGACTTAAATCTTGAACATTTCTGGTAGCAATATTTTCCCTGATGTATCTCCTCAGGCAAGGAAAACAAAAGAAAAAAAAATGGGACTACATCAAAATAAAATGTTTTTGCATAACAAAGGAAAACATCAACAAAATGAAAAGATAGCCCACTGAATGGGAGAACATATTCGCTGATACAGCTGCTAAGGAATTAATATCTAAAATTTAGAAAAACGTATGCAACTCGACACCAAAAACCCCAAACAATCCAATTAATAAATGGGCCAAGGACCTGAAAGACACTTCTCCAAAGAGGACATACCGATGGCCAGTAGACATAGTTGAAGATGCTAAGCATCACTAATCATCAGAGAAATGCAAATTAAAACCACAATGACATATCATCTCACACCTATCAGAATGTCTATTATCAATAAATCAACAAACAACAAGTGTTGGCGAGGATGTGCAGAAAAAGGAACCCTGGTACACTGCTAGTGGGAATGCAGATTGAAGTCACTGTGGAAAACAGTATGGAGTTACCTCAAAAACTTAAAAATGGAACTGCCCTATGACCCAGCAATTCCACTTCTGGGAATTTATTCAAAGAAACCTAAAACACTAATTTGAAAGAATATGTACACCTCTATGTTCATTACAGCATTATTTACAATAGCCAAGATTTGGAAGCAGCCCAAGTGTCCATCAATAGATGAGTGAATAGAACAGCCATAGTACATTTACACGATGGAATACTATTCCACCGTAAAAAGGAAGAATTTTTTACCCTTTGTAACTGCATGGATGCCCCTAGAGAAATGTATGCTAAGTGAAATAAGCCAGTCAGAGAAAGACAAGTACCATATGATCTCACTCATATGTGGAAGCTAATGAACAAACTGAACTAACAGCAAAATAGAGACATACTCATAGATAGAGAGCCGGCAGACAGCTCCGGTGGGGGAGTGTGGTGGGGGTTGAAGGGACTGAGCAAAAAAAAAAAAGAAAGAAAGAAAAGAAAGAACTCATGGACAGGGACAACAGTGTGGTGACTGCGGCAGGGAGGGAGTGTGGCAGGTGGCGGAGGTTGAAGAGGGTAAATGGGGGATAAATGAAGATTGAAAAAAAGACTAAAATGAAGAAAATATACATACATACATGCATACATACCCTGGCAGGGTGAGGGGAGAAAAACTGCGGTGAAAGAAGGAACAAAAATGTTTAGGGAGGTAGCTGGAGGCAGGATTAGTCTTACTTGGTAGAGTGCACGACTCAAACATCTATTTGTTATAGATTAATCCTGAAATAAAGTCCCACTAGAAAAGACAAAATAAAATTAAGAATAGAGTTGCCATATGACCCAGCAATCCCTCTCCTGGTTATCTACCCGAATAACTCGAAAACATGTATTCACAAAGATACTAGTATATGCACCCCTGTGTTCATTGCAGCACTATTCACAGTGGCCAAGACCAGCCCTTCCCGAGTTTTGGCAGGCTTGTGCGGAGGCTGCCCCCTTCTGGTCAACCTGAGCATCCCTTTGAAGGAGCAGGACCCACACCGGAAGATGCGCACACGGTGTCTTTTGTGTGGATTAATGCACCGCAGGTCGATGAGAAGATGCTGGATCAGGTTTGACTGGTGAAACATGGAATAAACTTGGCTGGGGAAAACCAGATTTTTGTCACTTGCAAATGCAAAGTTCAGGATGGTTTGGAAAGAGAATGAATTTTGCAGGGACACAGTAGAAAGAGTTCCGAACTCTTCCTTGCCACCAAGGGAGCTTTGTTCCCTGGTCAATCCATCTTTCTGTTTACATGTCTGTCTGCGTTTCCCCATCTGAGTCATTGAATTGAGGTTTTTAAATCGTTACTGAGACCTAAGTGCTTCCGAGGCTTTGCAGTGGTTGTGGAGAGGACTGGCTGGCCCCAGTTTCCCCTGGTTTAAGAGAAGGTGGAGCCCTAACCGGTTTGGCTCAGTGGATAGAGCATCGGCCTGCGGACTCAAGGGTCCCAGGTTCGATTCCGGTCAAGGGCATGTACCTTGGTTGCGGGCACATCTCCAGTAGGGGCCCTCTCCCTTCCTCTCTGTAAAAAATCAATAAAAAATATTTTTAAAAAAAGAGAGAGAAGGTGGAGATTTTGATTTAACTCCTGAATACAGAGCTTTATCCTTTCTCTCATTGGATACACCGTGGCACTACTTCCAGCTCCCTCTCTCCAGGCGCTCTCCCCATTCCCACGCAATGGAGGAGCCCTGGCCGCTAAGTGGGTACTTCACATGCCCATCACGCTGTCCCAAGTGACCAATTCCTATGGTAACTGCTCTCAGGGACCGTGGAGTTGTGTTTCATTCAGACACATGAATTAGTCTCTGCAGTGCAATAGACTCAGGTGTTGATTGATGCTGATACAATATTAGTCTTTATTTTGATACGGAAAAGTAGCACAAATGGCACTACGGGCTCTCTTATGTCTCTATTCAAGTTCACGCTGGCTTGATTATAGATACTTGAAAATCCACTGTAATATTTGCTACTAGTAGGTGAGTCTGACTCCCCCCCGCCCCCCGCCTCCAAATGCTTTTTAAAAAAATATATATTTTATTGATTTTTTACAGAGAGGAAGGGAGAGGGATAGAGAGTTAGAAACATTGATGAGAGAGAAATATAGATCAGCTGCCTCCTGCACACCCCCTACTGGGTATGTGCCCGCAACCAAGGTACATGCCCTTAACCGAAATCGAACCTGGGACCCTTGAGTCCGCAGGCCAATGCTCTATCCACTGAGCCAAACCGGTTAGGGCCCAAATGCTTTTTTAGGCTATTTTTTGCCAGTTTATTTTTCCAGGTGAGGTTTGAATTATTTCTTTAAGTTTCCATCAAGATTTTGATGTGACTTATTTTAATCTATACATTAAAGTGAGAAGGCTCTTATAGTACTAACTTTTTTTGATCTGAAAAATAGA